TGAAAATGTTGCTGTTTTTGGCTCGTTTGCATTACACGGTCGACCGTTTCTGTATTTTCTTTTAGGTTAGACATTGGAGACAGTTATAACTCATCTGACATTAATATATGTTTCGATTCCTGCCTCCGTCAAGGTTCAGCTGAGCCAAAGTGGGAACATATGAGTATAGGGAGAAACTACAGACCTCTGATTGGTCGGAGAGAACCATCAGCATGTGGTGTAGACAACAACATATTAACTGCGATCTCATTCTGACCAACTTCCTTGTTTTATTTGTCACAGTACAAGAACATAATGAAGACCAGAACTTTAGAACTATACAGATCTGTACTTGTAAAGTTTGGTCCAGTGGAAATACAAATAAATTGATATATGGGGGAAAGGATTAAATGGCCCTTTGCAGATTGATAATTAAAGAAAGCTGTGATGAACCCAATTTGTTTTATCCATCTGGTATTAACTCTCCATATTACATAACAGCAATACAAGTTTCCATATTTTTATATAACAAAAAATGAAAGATTTTTTCTTTGCCTTTAGACAAGATCAACACTGCTAGATAGGAATTGTAGAAAAAAAATGCAGCATTGATTCAGCTGACCGGAATAAAACTGCAGTTCAGACGCCAGGGGCATTTTTACCCATGTCCTCTGTGCATTGCTGCTTAACTATTGGGACACACTATAAGTCGTTAAATTTGATTTGCTTTGAAGCTACTAAGTATAGCCACAATATGTTGACCCTATTATAATCGTCGGCACAAGTTCACTACAACAAATGCGTGATGTTTACAGTTGCATCAACAGAAATTGGAATATCTCCGAAGGCTTAATTATTTTCATTTTTGCAATTTAAAAAAGTAAACCCAAACAGATCCTTTACGTACAAAGTGATATAGACAGGAGTTTTATTTCTGTTACTTTTGAAAGTAATGGATTAGAGCAAATGAAAACTCAGAACTGAATATCTCAGACTACAGTTAAATAATTCATGACCTAAGTTATGCAGAAATGTCCCCTTGCAGAAAGGTATGTCCAAGTAATGTGCAATTGAACTTTCTGCATGAATTACTGCCTCAGCATAATGTCAAGTTGAGGTGATCACCCTGTGTCACTGTTTTTTCCCTCTTGATAAAACTCTATAGATTCTTTATGGACAATTTGTTAGAGAATCAAGTGACAACATGGCCATTAACATGGATAATAGTGACAGTGAAAGAAATCAGCATCTCCATAAAGCTTTTTAACAAATGGAACCAAGAATTGCTTTAAAATTTCCTGGTAAATGGCAGCACTGACTTTGGACCTGATAAAAACAGTGGAGCAACAAAGAATGGTACAATTTCCCACATTGTCACTTCCTGAAGAACACTTACATTTGACTTTAGATCAATTAGATTAATTTGAAACCCCTGATTTCCTAATGCATTGATGGGCACACTTCCTCTAATCAACTAATGTGCTAATAGCTAATTTCATTTAGCCCTTTAGAGTTTTTCCTCACTTTGGAAAAGCTTAGTACACTTACCTCCCACTAAATAATTTTTTTCCAGATAAATTCTGAAGTTCTAATTTATTTGGCTGTTTTATAAATGTTAAGTTAACTCAAGTTTGACATATGTGTTGACGTTTTGGCTAGACATTTATATTTGTGCTCATGATGTGGTGCAGCTAATGAGGTTTAGTCTGTACTCAGAATATACAGCAATCAGTTTAAAATCTGCTGATATCCTACTTGCTTTTTGACTGAAGCCACACCACAGTAAGTTAAAATCAGCAAAAGAGTTAATAATACCGACAACTAAAAAACTGAAACCATGAGTGAAATGAATGTTCTAAAGAATCTGTTCCAGACATTTTTCCCCTTAGATACCAGAAGCTGCTTAACACAAAGAATACCATATTTGTGGTTTATACGTTTGGATGTGGTTGCTCTTCAAGTGCTTATTCCAGTCCACACATTATTAATCATTTCCAAAGTATTGAATGGGCTTTAGTTTGCCATAGTTACCGCTGTTGCTTGTGTGCCATTTTCTGATGCACTTTTTCCTTCCACTAAACTATTAATATAAAATTGAATTTTTTTTTTATTATTTGTACTATGTTGTCTAACTTAAGGCAAAGCAAGGTATTTTTAATGGCAAATAGAATAAATCGGTTCATATTCTTATTTTCACTGTAGTATGCTTTTTTTGGCGATATTCCCAGAAGGAAAAACATTGGTTAAATGCATGCATCACCTCTGCTTTGCCTTCAGGGAAACAAAAACTGAAAAAAAGAAATAAAAAAGCAGGCTTTTCTTTGGCTCAAAGATCACTGTCAGATTTATTTGTCTGTGTATTCAACTGGGTGGCTGACAAGCTAATCAAGTCGCTAAATACAGTGGGAGGAGATCGGCGTTTACACCGGATCCCCCACCAGCCAGTTAGAGGCTCTTCCCAAAACTGTCAGAAATGAAAGCAGTCATGCACGGTTCAAGGGCTTCTAAGTAAAAGTTCCTCTTCGCAGCTGTAATACAGTGAGTGAAGGCGAAAGCAATTAACTGTGTTAGGTGGAGAAACTTCTCTGGCCATCTTCTCTCCTCCTGCGCAGACACAGTGTCTCGCCTTAGGTTGCACGTGGCTTGGGCATGAACTGGCCGAGGCAGCATTAATTAAACACAGGGAGACAGTCAAACCTTTGTGCGCGAGACCAACGGCTGCAGGACTTAACTATCTTGACCTCATTTAGGTTAAGTCTTTGCCTGTTTTTTAGTGGACCTTAATCATTTTTTTGTCCCAATAATGAGTAGCCTCAGAGAGAGAGGGAGAGAGAAATAGAGAAACTTTCATGTCAAGAAGAAGAATCTTGTTGCTTTCTAACGGCGGCAGATGAGAGCATGTCGAGAGGGTTCAGCAGTGTTGCTGTTTTGACACAAATTAATGAAGCGCCTGATATGTATCCGAGGGAAACAGGGAGCGACAGTAAAAATGCCTCTTCCTCTTGTGGCTATACATTAGTTTACATTCAACAACAGCAGTGTCACGGTCATTAACCCACAGCAGGGCTGCTGTGTCCCCATGCCCATTAAGCATTAGACAAACTGAGAGCGAAATGAAGTGTCTGCTGAAGCTTATGTAAAGCACAAACTGTGACTCTCTGTGGCAGTGGACATTTGCAGCTTGTGTAGGGCTGCGCCTGATATGGTAATATCACTAATTGCTGCCTAATTAGATGCGAGTCAGTGAGTCGTGTTTTAATACTCTTCGGGGATCGTTACTGAAGGAGGAGAAATTCATCACTTCTGATGAATGACAGTCGGGTCAGCAGGAATTTTAACGTCAAGTTGGAGGGACTGATGAGAAGATGCAGGAGAGCTCAGAACTAATGGTTTTTTTGCGCTGTAGTCGTGTTACTTAAGTAGAGTCATTTTCAGCATGGTGCAGAGCTGCTTCAGAAGTTAATCACACATTAATACGGAGCTCAACGTGGAGATTTACCATTGCCTAACAGCGTGAGATTGAAATCAATAAGCCTTAAAAGAGTGAAAATCTAAGTTTCATAATGGCAGAAAGAAGCTACTGATAATCACCACTGCAAATTATTTATCATGTGCTTTTAATTCGGGGTGGGCAGTGTGATCGCCGTGGGGTGTCGGTATCTGACAAGACGGAAAACTGTTAATTTGGAGGAAATATAGAGGACCGGTTCATCCTGGAGTCATGTTGTGGCCGGGTTTTTATAGTGGGCACCTTACAACAAGTGGCTCACACTCCATGTCAACAAGATTATTATTATTATTCATACAGCATACTCCAAAAGTAATTGCTGTCCATGGTTTAAAAAAAAAGCCTCTTAAATTAGTCTTATGTATTGCATTAGCCTATTCTTACAGGAAGTAAAAAAAAAATCCAACCTTTAAATTGAGGTCATTTTGTCCCTTTGCTATTTTTGATTTATTAAATGTGTAAAAAGAAAACCAAAGACCAGCAGAATAATTTAGCTTTTTTGGTTATTAATTCTCAAGGGTATGAGGGAATGCCAAGCAATCCAACAGCATCTTGAGAGCAATCAGATATTTGTTGGGATCGAATGATTTTCAATCCTTCTTCAACACATTTATTAAAGATACAGATGAATTCATCATAATCATATTTTTAAACACTTAATTGGCACCTAAAATAGTTAACGTGGTATCATCTAACCCAAATAACAGCTTTACAAGAGAGAATGTTGTGGCTAGTCCAACTTATTAGCACATCATCATGTTGCAGCAGAACCAGCTTCTCTGTGCACAGTTAAAAGATTCTGTTCAATGAATCAATGTCAGGTAGCAGGTTCGTACTATCACTTAAAACAGATGCATTTTGCTTTGCATAAGAAGAGTACTGACTACAATAAAAACTCTCAAATATTAGTCAGCGCAAAAACAGAATGCTTAAAGGAACCGGAACCGTCTCCAACGAGGCTGAAAGAGAACCTAACCAAGTCACTGTCCAGGAAGACAAGGCGCCATCTTGAGTTTATCAAGTCTTCTTAATAACCACCGATTTTAATGTTATGCATCTTTACATTGTGGAAAGCACAAGCAAAAGTATGTACTTTTAAAAGTAAGCACTTTACTCAAAGTTCAGTTTAATATAAGTGTAAGTTTTTGTTGGATTTAATTTTTTCTTCTTTTTTGTTTTCTTTACATTGGAGCCAGACTTTTTTTTTTTTTTTTTTTTTCACGGAGACAGACATCTTTTAAAAGGTGTTTGAGTTTTTGTGTTTTTTCAAGCGGTGCCAGGCGTATGTCTTCTCAGTTCACTCTCAAAATCATTTTGGTTGTTTGTATTGTTCTTCCCAGCTGGAGTGAGGTGGCAGAGACAAAGGCAGATGTGTCCCTGTTTGTTTTTGAAGTGTCAGAGTTAAGTTTTGCGTGTATGGGTGTGTGTGTGTGTGTGTTCTGCTTCTGTGTGACGATGCCTGTGTTTGGGTGTTTCATTTCCCCCCCATGTTGTCTCTGTTTGTGGTCCACAGGTCCTCCGCTGCATTGTTCATCTGCCTCCTCCTCCCCTGTTGAGCAGCTCCCATACCCTCCCCCTTCCATTGCAGCCAATGAGAACCACGGGAGGTTGCTAGGTAACAGTGCGGCTCAGCCAGCCCAGGACTCTGACTCTGAGGATGAGTTTGGCCCCAATTCATTCTTAGTTAAAACTGGCTCAGGGAACCTGTATGCTCCTTCCGCTGCAACTGCTGATGGTGAGTTGGTTTTCATACTTACTGTTGCTTCCTGGAGGTCAGCCTTCCCCTCATCCCCCTCCTGACCCCCCCCTCCCCCCCCCCCACACCCACACACACACACACACACACACACAGGTCATGCAGATGGCTACGGGCTAGATAATGTCCTTGTTCTTCTTTTTTTATTTTACTTTAGCACCTTAAGAGAGAGCTGAAACTTCGAGTTGATACGTAGCCTCAGGAAATGAGCAGAACTCTCTGAAGTGAGGTCGGCAAAGTTCACAGCAAAGCGATGGGCGATTTTGGTTGAGCAGGAAAGATTTGTCATTGATATTTCTGTTGGATGGTTTGGATAGGAAATAAGTGAGAAAAAGTTCTAACGTACTAGGTGCAAATGTCGGGCTCTGGTATTGTAACACACAAGTGTAACATCCTCCCTTCTGAGTTGTAAAAACTTTGTGGACTCCCTGTGTGGTTGCTCATTAAAAAACATCAGCTGTTTTTTTGGGTTTTTTTGAAATGCAGTCTCCTGCTGGTACTGTAACATTCATTCAGACTGACAGAATGACATTTCAGCTCAAAGTGCTAGCACAGTGTTGACAGTTGACAAAAAAAATCTGATTGTAAAGCTGTATGTTTACCAAGTAGGAAGCTGAAAGTGTCATAAATAATATCAGCAGTTAACTTACTGATCTAAGTATGAGGAGGATGTTCTTGAGCGTTCAGACATGACAACTTTTTAAAGGAGTAAAACTGTGTTTTTGATGTCTATTCCTTACTTCTTTTCTTGCTGCTATACTCTAAATTCATCAACAGATTGAGAGATTAGAAGAGTTATCTATGATGATTCAGAAGAACTTTACTCTCACTGATGTCTTCAGTTTTACTAAGAAAAAAATGTCAAACAAAAATTGCAGCGATGCACAGATCAGGCAGATCTTTGGCTAATACCAATTCATGTTTGTCTTTCATGTCTTGACATGGTAATTGAGACTCTTGACTAGTTGTACATTTTCCTCTTAAATTACTCAACACATTAAAGAAAAAATGTCAGGCCTACTGATTTCAATGGATTCCAATTTTCTGCAGCACATCTTCAATAGAGGATCCTGTTAAATACAACAAATTAATAATAACCATATCATCAGGAATGCTAATTCTGATCTATATTCATGCTGATGTTAGTCATTTTGCAGCACATCAATTTTGGTCCCATAAATAATTATGTTGATGATGTCAATGAGCAGAGGTAGTTTTCAACTTTTTGCCGTTTGTTTGCATTTACTCTAAATTCACACGCTGACTTGTGGGAAATTAGCTTCTTTAAACACAGGTGAGTTAAACCGTCTTTAAACCGTGTGTTTTGGGTTGGCCATGTTATTATATTTGTTTGACATTAACTGTGATGCAGTGATGCAAACATATGGACTGTGGGCAAAGTTTTGCCTGCCAATGCTTTTTCTGTGCCCCTCCGGGTCACTAAGGACCACAGAATGGAAGCTAACAGTTATGTGCTTAAATATATTAACAGTCACATCAAATCAGTTTTTATTTGTATCAGACAAGAGACTGCATCCTCTGGCACCAGTCACAAGTGGGTCTTGGACTGTGGGGAATCTATTGCCATTTGTTGACCAAATACAGTTTTAAACTTTTTTTTAGGTACTTTTTGTAAAGTACCTCAAAAGACGCTTATGAATTAACTGTTTTAAATAAAAAATATTATTAGTACAAATTTTCTGAAGTACATGTTTATCAAAAATATATATCTTTTTTAAGGCACTATAATATTTGTGGCTCTGAAGAAGTCTTATTTTGCTGGACTGAAGTTAATTATGGCTCTCAAGGTTGTAAAGGTTGCAGGCGCCTGGTATAGAGATGAATTACATCAATGTGAAAAAGACTTAAAATATTTATTCTGAAGAAGTTGAAATCAAATGTGGAAAAATTATGATATCATACCAGTTTAGTGGTTTTACCTTAACATTCTGCCACAACTGGCCCTTTGAGGGCATTCGTGGTCTACATGGGGCCCAAAATGAAAATGAGTTTAACAGCCCTGCTTTAGATGAATATGGAGGAAAATCAGTTTTTTCAAGACATGACCACAAGATGGCCAATTGTTCAGTTTTGGTCATAATTGGAAACAGATACAGAATCTAAAAATACATAAACCAGTACTTGCACGTATAAAAAGAATTCTCATCATATCACCTGTGTTTAAAGAAGCTAATTTCCCACAAGTCAGCGTGTGAATTTAGAGTAAAGTTCTTCAGTGTTTTAATGTAGACGAATTTGAACTGAAGTTGCTACCTCAGTCTTCCTAAAACAACTTGAATGATTTAAATCATTGATCAAGTCATTTTAACTAGACGAAGACTTTCATTATATGAAGCTTCAAAGTGTCCTGACTGGCTGCTCAGGTCGGCAGCAGAATGAGTTATTAATCCCACTGCAAATCTCCCTGCTAATTCCTCTGCAGCAACACTGTGGTCACCCAGCAGTGGCACGATTGGCTGTAGGCAATATGGGTGTGGGGGGGTAAGACCTTTACCATGGTAGAAGTTTCTCACAACAATGAATGTAATTTGCATGGATAGATCGTTTAGTTTAGCCTTAGGCTGTCAGGAAGAGGAGTAAGGAGGAATTTCAGCAGCTCGAGTTGCTACCTCTGGTTGTCATTAGGGCTTTGAAAGACCCTTTTAGTAAGTGACACTGTGCGCACATACTGCTACGTTTTCTTAATCGAAGCAATGCTAATGACAACAAAACAATAGCCAAATATAAGGACCTGCAATTTCTTAATTTTTTACTAAAACGTAGCTAAAATCTCATCTTGTTTGTCACGCCCCTAATGGGATGTTATGTTTAATTTTGAGACTTGATATTTTTTCTTATGAATAGTGCTCTCATTAAAATTTGGAGAAGAATAGCAAAGCATCTCCAAGCTTTGTTTAATTAATCCACACAACTTAGATAAGCTTTGTCTCTATCATATTTTTCCCACTGCATTTACAGCGCCTCATCCAAATATTTAGCAAGCTTGGTGACTTTGTTTATTCCATTCTGGGTATCTCTCATTTGTGATTAATAGGAAAAAAATGAGTCTTTCACTCCAGTGAACAGCACAACGTTCATTCCCCCCCCCTTTTTTTTATTTTGTCGGGGAATAATATATGTAGCTAAATAACTCTATCAATCAGAGCTTGTTTCAGCAGAATGAAATGACTTGATTGGAAGTTGTTCAGTGTGACATTGCTACATAGAGCTAAATAAATCTAATATTCACAAGGTGACAAAAACGTAGTGAGAGGTGACAAAATGAGAGCGTGGCATTGGATGTGTTTGCCAGAATCATAATAAAAAAATTGCACATTCCATGGATTTTATTTTTTCTTTACAAAACATTTTCATTTTTGCTTTAGAAAATATTCTTGGATGTAATTGGGAATTAACCATGCATGTCAAGATTCGTACAGAATTTACATGTGGCAAAAAATGTCTATTTGAAAGCCACCACGGCAAAAAAAGGATGAGAATTTCCAATCAGGTCTCCTTGATGTGCAAGCCATGCTTTGAAGAAATGTCATCTGAGCAGAAAAGAATAAAAAAAGATGTTTTTATTGTCAGTAAACAAGGCGAAAAAATACACAGGCCTCTAATAACCTTTTCATAGTCAAATCTTTCCACAGAAAAACAGGTGGTTTTTATCTTTTCAGATTACATTTGCTCAAGGTCGTCTTGGAGCCCAAATGCAGGACTTAAAATGTTCTGGCGGATTTTGAACAAGTGAAAGCTCTCAGTGGCATATCATTATTCACATAAGTAGCCTCCAAGGCTGCTGTGTGTTTTTTTTTATTTATTTTCAGAGTGGGGTGAGGGAGAGTTGTGTTTTTTATTATTATTATCATTTCTGGGAAGACTAAGCAGTAGTTCCTCTAAGGTTGATGAGGCTGCTCGCTGAAGCCTGCACTCCTATTGTCAAGCATGTGTCTCTCTGTGGCCTTCGGCTTTCTCCGAGGGTCTTCTTCCTGGGGAGAATGCCAGTTAGAGGCCGCTGCCACGCTGGGCTGCAAGATCTCAGACACTGCAGCCTCCCCGCATTAGCATCTCTTAATGCGAAGCAGCATGGGGTCGGCCAGTATCGGCTTTCACTGCGGTCGGACACCCCGGTGAAAAGGGCCGGCACACCGAGCGGCTTGCAGCTGACCAAGCAGGAATGCTGTGCTGAGCAGAAGGCTCAGGGACGCAGCCGTGTGTGAATTCAAATGAGTCTTCATTTGAACTGCTTAATCATCCCCCCTGAGTCTGCAGAGACGGGGGAGAAATGTGGTTAAAAGAGGTCACGCCAGAAAGTAATTTAGCCGCAGACACCACGAGGAATAGAACTATCTGAGGCTAAATAATAATTTCATGAGCAACACATGGCACCCTGTTCTTCTTTTTTTCTGAACACTTTATATACAGAGCTTTGCGAGAGTATCAATAACTCGTAAACCATTTCAAATTCACCCGATAACAATAACATTTTATTCCTCTTTGTGAAATATACCCAACTCTGTCAGATTGAATTAAAAGTATTTGTCGACTTCAAGTATTGCTGTAGATTCTCACTCAGATTTAAGTCAGGGTTGTTCAAACACTTCAATGCTTTGATGTAAACCATTTTGCTACAGCTCCGGCTGAAGGTTTATGGTTGTTTTACTGCTAGAATGAGAGCCGACACCCCTTTCTCAAATCTTTTGCAGCCCCTTTTTTCCATGATTACACTGTATTTAGCTCCATCCATCTTACCATCAGCTGTAACCAGCTTCCATGACCCACTGAAAGAGCATACCCACAATATAATGCTGCTGCCTCCATGTTTCCTGGAATGTACTCATATTCACATTGGGCAGCCTTTTATTGTAACACAGCATTTTTAATGTTGGTCAAAAATGTCAGATGTTGATTTTCTTGCCCCTGTGCTATAAAGATCAAATTTGTGACATGTATCATCATCTCCCTTATCCCTACTG